GGGAGGCATGGCCTCTGGGCGCCAGCTGCACACCATCCTCGGGCTCAGGAACTGTGAGTCAGTCTCAGGAGGAGAACTAGTGCTAAGGGTTTCCTGATGACCAACATTTCAGGGAGGTTCTTGGCTTGTGCTGCTACATTCAACAGGTCAAATTCTGTCTTCTTCCCAACGACACAGAGATGGCACCAAGGAAACAAGTGGGAAGGTGGTCCAGGGGACCTGCTGGCACCAACGTCAAGTAGGATATTTGGTCACTGAGGCTGTGTTTCCAGGAAGTTTTGCCACCACCATTCACTGGGTAGGGATTTTTCTCCTGGAAACAGTGATGAGGTATAAATGACTGTCTCAAGAAAAGAGCCCACTGGTAAGAGCTGTGCTGAGAATAACCAGGTAGCTCTGAACTGACAGTACCATAGGGCTCCTCTGCTCACTCATGTATTCCAAGCTTTACGAATGGATTGTAAATACTCTGGGCTTCTCTTCTGGTGATGGGGTGCTGCAGAGTTCTATACTGTCCACGAGGACATTCTTGTCTTCACGTCTAGTGACACTGGGCTCTGGGGCTGGGGGTGGGGTGGGATTTTTGTGCATGTGTGGCAGGCTGGTCTGGCTGATGTCCAGGTCTTTGAAAGCATGAAGCATGAACACACCCAGGATGATGGTGACAAAGCCAGACAAGGTGCCCGCAATGTCCACGGCAGACATACTGTACCACTCCTTGAAGAGGACGACGGAGGAGGCAACCACCATTGTGGTGAAGAACACGTAGTAGATGGGGAACACCAGGGAGGTGTTAAAAATGTCCAGCGCCCTGTTGAGGAAATTGACCTGAGTGCTGAGCGAAAGTGCCAGGATGAGGGACAGGATGTAGGGGAGAGGGTGCCGCACTACGGGCATCCCCTGGAAGAAGTTTTTAATGGTGATGCCCAGGCCCTTGACGGCGGACACAGAGAAGGCTCCGATCACAGAGCAGATGATGATGTAAATGAGGATGTTCCTCTGTCCGTAGCGTGGGGCGATGACGAAGATGAGGATGAGGCAGAACACCAGCAGAAGCACGGCAAACACGATGTACCCTTTGTAGGGGAGAGGGAGAAGGATAACCTGAGCTGTAGAGGGTACGATAAGCATCTAGAGACCAGGTTCTTAATGCGACATCCCATTGCCATGGCATTAAGAAATAAACTCACACACCTACAGTCAATTAATCTTAACAAAGGAGTCAAGAATATACAATGGAGAAAAGAGAGTCTCTTCGGCAAGCGGTGCTGGGCAAGCTGGACAGCCGCATGTGAGTCAGTGAAGTAGAACACTCCCTCACACCATACACAAAAATACACTCAAAATGGCTTAAAGATTTAAACATAAGACAGGGCATCATAAAACTCCTGAAAAAAGAACAGAGGCAAAACAGATCATAGCTCTGTTGTCCTGGGTCAGTCTCCTAAGGCAACAGAAATAAAAGCAAAAATAAGCAAATGAGACCTAATCAAACTTATAAGCTTTTGTACAGCAAATGAAACCATAAGCACAACAAAAAGACAACCTACAGAATGGGAGAAAACATCTGCAAATGATTTGAGTGACAAGGGCTTAATTCCCAAAATATACAAACAACTCATATAACTAAATAACAAAAAAAAAACCCTATAAAAAATAGGAAAAGACCTAAATAGACATTTCCACAATGAAGACATGCAGATGGCCAATAGGCACATAAAAAGATGCTCAACCTCACTAATTATCAGAAAATTGCAAATCTGCAATGAGGTATCACCTCACACTGGTCAGAATGGTCATCATTAAAAAGTCCACAAATAATAAATGCTGGAGAGGGTGTAGAGAAAAGGGAAGCCTCTTAGTTTGCTGGTGGGAATGTAATTTGCTGCAGCCACTAAGGGGAATAGTATGGCGAGTCCTTAAAACTCTAAAAATAGACTTAACATATGATCCAGCAGTCCCATTCCTGGGCATATATCCACAGAAAACTTCAACTCAAAAAGATACATACACCCTCAATGTTCACAGCAGCACTATTTACAATAGCCAAGACATGGAAGCAGCCTAAATGTCCATCAACAGATAATTGGATAAAGACAATGTGATATATATACAATGGAATACTACTCAGCTGTTAAAAAAAGAAAGAATAAAATAATGCCATTTGCAGCAACATGGATGGACCTGGAGATCGTCATTCTAAGTGAAGTAAGCCAGAAAGAGAAAGAAAAATGTCATATGCTATCACTTATATGTGGAATCTGAAAAAAGGACACAAATGAACTTACCTACAAAACAGAAACAGACTTGCAGACATAGAGAAAAAACCAAAGGGGAAGGGGAGGGGAGGGATAAATTGGGAGTTTGAGATTTTCAGATCCAAACTACTGTATATAAAATAAACAGCAAGGTCCTAATGTATAGCACAGGGAGCTACATTCAATATCTTATGATAACCTATAATGAAAAAGAATATATATATCTGTGTATATGTATAACTGAATCACCATGCTGTACACCAGAAATTAACACAGCATTGTAAATAAACTATACGTCAATTAAAGAAAAAAGAACCTGGGTTTTAGAGTCAGACAAACATGGGTTCCAATCCCAGTGACATGACTATTTAATAACTTGTACAAGTTATTAATTAAAACCCCACGACCTCAGTTTCCTCATTTGTGAAATAGGACCTTCCTCACATAGGCTTCTTTTGTGGGATTAAATAAGGTAATGAATGCAATTACTGACTGTACCCCAATCCCCTCCCAGCCCCTTGCATTCGCATGTTGAAGCCTAACCCCTAATGTGATGGTACGGAGGTGAGGTCTTTGGGAGGTGATTACGTTGTGAGGGTAGAGCCCTCACGAAGGGATTGGTGCCCTTACAAAAGAAACTTCAGAGATGGGAGAGGGTCTAGCTCAGAGGCAGAGTGCATGCCTAGCATGCAGGAGGTCCTAGGTTCAATCCCCAGTACCTCCATCAAAAATAAATAAGTAAACCTAATTACTTCCCTCCAGAAAATAAATAAATAAAATTAACGTTAAAAAACTTAAAGAAAGAAACTCCAGAGAGCTCCCTTGCCCCTTCCACCAGGTGAGGACACAGCGAGATGTTTGTTTATGAGCCAGATCTGTGGGGCCTTGATCGTGGCCTCCAGACCTTGGAAAAATAAATGTCTGCTGTTTATAAGCCACTCAGTCTATGACATTCCATCACGACCCATAAAGCATTTAGAGCAGTACCTGGCACACAATAAGCACATAATAAATGGCATCAACTCCCTGTCAGGCTGGGAACCTGTGTGCTAGCCTTAGTAGCATCCCACCAACTTCCATCTGCCTCCTCCAGGTGGCAGCACCTGAGATGGCCAGGACCCAGTCAGACCTTCCACGTGGCTCCCCCCCACACCCCGCCCCGGGCTTGGAGCCCACCTGTGTCCTTCATCTTGGCAGCCATCTCCATGACGGTGGTGATCCTCTCTTCCTCGGGGGCGTGTATCACCATCACGGTGCTGCCGGCCACACAGATCACACAGCCCAGCTTTCCCAGCAGGTTCAGACTCTCTCCCAGGAAATAGGAGGAAAGGATGGCGCTGCGTGTGGACATGGAGAAGGGATTAGAGCAGCCGGGCCAGTCCCCGCGTCCTGGAGGAAAGCGGGGCTGAGCAAGCGCTCACGGAGAACAACAGATCAGGACTCACAACTCTCACACGAGAACGCATTTCTGGACCCCTAGGAAACGTCTGCCATAGAAACTTAGGTTCGGGAGGGTTACCGTGTGGGCTGGAGGAGTCAACAACATCCATGAGGGTTTCTTACATTTTAGAGACAAAGTAGCCCATGCAGAAGAGTTGCAGGAGCCTTTCAAAGCACTCTTGTCCAGCTTCCTACCCACCGAGCACATCTCTTATTATTGCCAACAGACGGCTCTCAGCTGTGGCTTGTGTATCTCTGGTGGCAAGCTGCTCGCCCTCCACGAGGCAAATGAATCCACTGTAGGTCGTTCTGTTATTCACCAAAATACAGTAACTTCTCATCCTTGTCCCATTTCTATTCCTTGAGCCGTACAGAACAAATCCATTCCTTCTCCCATTTGTATGCGCCAGTATAAACAAGTCCAATGACAACTGTAGGCACCGTGTCTTGGACACACCTTACGTACTAGATATTATGCTAGGAACCTTCCATTTACTATCTCACTAATATCTTGTAACTCTTAGAAGAGTAAAATATGCTAATGCCCATTTTACAGATGAGAAAACTGAGTCCCATAGAAGCTTAAATGGTGGCAAGATCATACGACTGGTCAGTAGCTGAGTGGAGATTTGAGCTCAAGTTCTGCCTAAATTATAAAGCCTGTGGGTTTTCCGCTACACCTTATTGAAGAGAATTCTTCCTTGAGTCTTTTCTGGACAAAACACCTCCAGCTCCTTGCTGTTCCTTGGTGATGTGACTTTCATTTTCGCCCAGCAGAGGTGAGGGAGGAAGGGAGGGAAACTGGACAAGACAAGTGTGATTGCTGGGGCATGCTTCTGTTTCTTTATGAAGGTGGTATTTGTTTAGGGTAAAAATCTGTGGGCTGGCCTAGGCTGACCCAGTGAGCCTCAAAAGTCCTGGGGAAAGGCATCAGGAGAGAGGGGAGTGATGTCCAGGCTCCTCTGAGAGCCCACCATCTCTCCTCTAAAACCACCAAAACCGTTCCACCCATAATGCCTGCTCACGAGCATCCAGTGGCATTAGCAAAGGCACAGGTCACGTGCTGCAGGAATCCCTGCCTCTCCCAACTTCCTGGGGGTGGGGCTTTGTAAACTAATCAGATATGCAATAGTGGTATCGCGGCTCCATCTGGTTTTTGATTGCATAAACGTTACAAAATTGTCATCGAGCCGGTAAAACAAAACAGAGGGAATTACGGGTATTGGATGTGGTTGGCTGGGCTTTACGAGGGCCCCAAGGTTAGAACAACCATCAGAGCCAGCTTCAGATGGGGCACAGGACCCCCAGAGAGGAACTATGCCTGTAGCTCGGGAGGAACAGGGCAATGCATTTAATACCAGTTATCTTTCAAGCTGTCAAACATTTTGGAGGCAACATGACCTAGTGATTAAGCACCCAGACTCTGAAATTAGACTGCCTGGGAGGGAATCCTGGCCTAGCCTCCTGGGGCCTGGGTGACCCTGGCCGAGACGCTTAACCTCTCTTGGCCTCAGGTCTCTCCTACTTTCTAACTAGTAGGGATGCTTCCAGGATTAAATGAGTTAATACACGGAGTACACTTAGAACATTTAGCACACAGCAATAGACGTTACTTACATACGTTAGCCGTGGTTATTCTTCAGCCCCAGTTCTGTATCTGCACTCTCTGTGCCTTATTTCATGTAGTCCTCGAAGCAATGCCTTCAGGAAGGTATTATGAACTTCCCCACTTAGCAGGTGGGAAATTGAGGCTTCGAGTGGTTAAATGGCCTGCCATGGTAACTTTACTAAGTGGTGGAGCTAAGGTTAGAACTCAGGGAGTGTTAATCTAGGCCTCACACCTTCAACTGGTACGCTTCTCCTATTGGGGCGCCGAACGCTGACGTGAGACATTCAGCCTGGTGGCAGCGGAGGCGCTTTCAACTGGTTTGCGCTTGGCCTGACCCTTCACTGACCAGTCAAGGAGATGCTAGAGCAACAGGCAGCAAATAATCCAAAGGTCTGGAGTTCTGAGCAGCGCACAACTTTTTTGGGGGAGCTGGGACTGACCCAAGTCCGCGATTACAAGTAGCGACTGTTCCAGACACCAACAAACTGAAAAGAGGAAGAAGCCAGAGGCGGCAAGAGAGGTGACAATAACCTTATGAGGATACTCAGTGCTCCCAGAGGTGTGACAACTGTTGCAGGAGCAAACGCGTAGGCCCCGAAGTTGGCGACTTCTCCAGCAGCCACTAGGAAATTAAGGGAAAAAAGAGGTCATTGGCTCTGGTGCACCATCTCCAGTCCAAATCAATCTGGGTAGAGATGCCTTCATTCAGCGTTCAATCCCTCACAGAATCCCAGGCCAGCATTCCTTGAAATTCTGATTGTTACGCCCTCTCCCTGGACAATCTGATCTGAAGGTCAAGCTCAGACTGTCCTGACCAAATCCTTCCATTTTAAAGATGAGAAAGCATGCCGAGAGTCCCGGGTCACAGGATGCCTTCTTGATCTTGACGTCTCTTGGCTTCCGGTCAAGGCATGGTCAAGTGTATCTCAGGGACTGCCAATGATTGGTCTATATCTTTAAGGTAAGTTCTAGAAAGTGTTAATTATCAGATAAAGAAACAGTTACAGTTATTGATTCTCCGGGTACCAAATGGTCCAAGGACCATCTTTTCCAGAGGAGGTGTGGATTGTCTAGACGGACAGGCAGGTGGTTAGAAAGTTTGACATCCCCAAAGGGCCCACTTCTCCCCATGTGAGTTTCCAGTGTGCAGGCTCCTTTAAGTGTCTTTTCTGTCTCTGCTCATAGAGAATGAATTGGCTCCGCTCTATGAAAGCAGATGATGAATGTGATCACTCTGGCTGAGACTGGGATCAAAACCTGACTTAGAGGATTACAAATAGAAAGCTGGCTAATTTTCCATCTGAAAGAATTAGGCTTTGAAATCCAGAGTGGGTGGGTGGAAAACGGGGGAAATGTGTGAATGTACAAATTTGGGCAAACTTTAGATGGCAGGCCAACCATGTGCTAAGTGAGCCAACAACTGTCTGAGGAATGGGGAAACTGACTTAGGAGTCCCCTGCAGAAAAGTCCAGGAGACTCCAATGGGCAGCGACAGCTCCCTGTGTTTCAAGGGAAGCTGAGAAATGACACCTTTATCATCACCAGCTCTGGACAAACCTCTCTGGGGGTAGATGCTTCATGGATGAAAGAGATTTTGGGTGGAGAAAGTGATCTGAGATACAGGTAAGATGTTCTACCAGCAAAGACTGTCAAGGTTTTCCCCCTGGGAATCTTGGCCTCAGATTCATACTTCGCACAATAGGGACAGAAATGCCCCACCCACCCTCCTTTCCTCTCTGCCTCTGTCAGCAGTCGGGCACAGTCGTTAGCAGCAAAGGGCTCACTTACTGGTGAGAAATCCAGCCCACCACATCGCGTCCTTCAGGTAGCCGTAGCCTCCGTCCACTGCAGAAAGCAACAGGCACCGAGTGAGTGCGCGGCCACGCTTCCCAGGACCGCTCCTTCTCTGCCTGCACGCCCCAGTCTCCAAGCGCTCAGTCTGTGTCAGCTGTGGTGAGTCCCCGGGGCTCGCTTCTGGGCCCTCTCCCAGGTGAGCGCAACCATTCCAAAGCTTTAATTTCCATCTAGCTGCTGGTGTCCCTGTTTCATACACGCACCCTGACCTTTTCTTCTGAGCCCTGGTGTGGATCCAACTGCTGACTTGACAACTCTTGGATCTCTCACCGGCATCTCAAATTCTGTCCTAAATGGAACTCTTGATTTTAAATGCTCCCCACCCATCAAATGAAACTCAGTAAATGGCACCTCTGTGTCCCTAAGTTGCTTAAGCCAGAAACCAGGGAATCATTTGACCCTCCCACTACTCCACCTCCTGCCTCCAGTCCATCCTGCTGACTCTGTCTCCAAAAAGCACCTCACATGTGTCCACTCCACTGCCACCACCCAACTCTGGGTCGAGGCAGCAGCCCTCTAGGGTTCCTCTGGGTCTACCCTTGTCCTCCTATAATCCATTCCTTTCATAGCAGCCAGGAGTCTTTAAGAATGTAAATCAGAATTTGTCACTTCTCAGCTTACTGCTGGCCAGTGGCTTCTAAATACTCTTGGGATAAAGACCAATCTCTACCAAGCCCTGTTCGCAGTTTTGACCTGGCTCACCTCTCCACAGGCATCTCCTGCCACTCTTCTTACTACAGTCTAGCCACTCAGGCTTTCTTCGAGTTCTTCAAAAATGATGAGCTCTTTCTGGCCTTAAGGCCTCTGCATGTGCTTTCCGTGTTCAGAAGAGTCTTAACAATATTTGCCTAGATCCACATTCACTTCACAGGCCTCTGCTTAAATGCTGCTCCCCCTAAAATGCCCTCCCTGACCCCTTATCTTTATTATTCCCCCTGGGACTCTCTCTCATCACACCCAGCTCTCCTCCTTCATGACACTTGTCATTTATAATTTTAACTGATTTATTTTCTTGCATTTGCTCCACTGAAATGGAAGTCAGGAAGTGTGTCTGCTGTGTTCGCATGATGGCCTCAGAGCCCGGCACCCAGGCAACGCTCAGGAACATTAGCTGTGAGGCTGAGGATGGGATGGATGGGTTTTAGACTGGTCTGTGAAAAATCCCAAATTCGCATTCTGCTTTTTGTGAATGCCCATTTTCCTAAGAAGGCCTTTCCCTTCCATCAGGCTCCTAAAGGAGTCAGAGTCTCCCTCATTCACGTTAAGAGCTCTGAGAGCATTTCACCCTAAGAGCTGAAATCTCAGGAGATGCTGAAATATCAGACTGGAGGGAAAAACTGATTCCAGGGCTGCTGCCTCTCTGAATGGTCAGAGGTACTTGCCCTGCTCTCTCCTGAGCACAGGCAGCTGTTTTTCTGGCAGTTTGGGAGGCCTCTGGCCATTCGAACATGTGTCCAGAAGTGGAAGACAGAGCAGCGATGACCACCAATCCTGACTTCATCCCCACACCTCACAGCTCTCCGTATCCGCGCACACCTGGCCCAGACCTGGGTACCGGGTTGTCCGCCAGGCCCTCCCACTTAGATAACTGAGGCTAACATTAGCGCTCACTCTGTGCCAAGCGTCCTTCTAAGCACACGGCCCATCTTCACAACAGTCCTGCAGGCTGGAACTAGTCTCATCCCCATTTTGTTTTTAGATGAGGAAACTGAGGCACAGAAAAACTATGTTCTTGCCCAGGATCACATCACCAGGAACTGAGGAGCTGGAACTGGAGCCCTAATGGTCTGCTGCCAAAGCGCAGTGTCTCAGAGAACATTAAGTTGAACATGTCCAGACCTGAACACGTTGTCTTTCCATAAACCTGCTCCTCCTGTATTCTCCATCTCAGAAAAGAGCACCTTCATCTCCCCAGTTGCTCAAAGCAGAGGGCTGAGTCATCCTGACTCATTTTCTTCACACTCCCTTGGAGCCCAGCAACACCGAACCCAGTACGTCCTACCTGCAGAAACTGTCTCCACACTCCACCACCTGTCTCCATGCCCACGGCCATTCCCTGGCCCAAGCTCTGTTGTCTTCCTCCTTTAACCGGCCTCCTACCCTCCAGTCTTGTCCCCTAACCCATTCTGCACCCAGCAACTAGGGATCTTTTCAAATCATAAATCAAAATATGTCACTTGCCTGCCTAAAACCTTTGTCACTTAGAGTTACACTCAAACTCTGGAGCCCAGTTTACAAGACCCTTCATGAGCTGGCCCTCAGCCCATTTCTCACCCCTCCGTGCTCCAGCCATCATGAATTACTTTCAGCTTCTAATATAATTCATGCTCTCAGCCCTGGGCCTTTGCACACGCTGTTCTTTCTGCCTGGAACACTACGTCGTCTTCCTCTTCTCCCCTTCATCTTTTCCCCATGACAGCACTTAACAGGCTATGGGACAAGTGTTTATCGACTTGCCTGTCTCTCCCACTCAACTCAAAGCTCTTCAAGGGCACGGTGTCCACATGTCTCGCATGGCACCTGGCACGCAGCAGGTACACAATAAATGATGATTCAATGAGTGAATTCTTTTATATAGGATTCCTTTTCTCAGGAATTGTTTTCAAGGATACACACTTTATTTTCCAAACAAGCAAACCCCTGTGGACAGGGACTCAGCAATTCTTTTGTATCCTATACGGGAGCTCAGTTTGACAGTAAGTGAGGGCACCCTCGTGTCTGCCACTGTTCTGGGCAGACGCATCGTGTTCCCATCTTGTAGGGAGGTTGTTACCGGCCTGCCACGGCACAACTGGTAAGAAATAAAACCAGGAATAGACCTGGGCTTCCTGATTCTTGGCCCTGAGACTTCTCCCTCTCTTCACCCCAGTTAACTGACCACGAAGTTCTCAGGAAATGTTGGATCATAAAGGAAGGTGTCCCGTTGGTGTACTGATTCCCCATGGGGTTGACAATGCACCTTTTGTGCCCTTAGGACAGGCTCTCCAACTGCTACAGTGGACCCGGGAGGAGGCTCACGGGGCTGGCTGCGGGCTCGGCTGCCCAGCACCCCGTTCACACCCGCACCCCACCCCCAGGAGCCTACCTGCCCGCGTGGCCCCCGAGGCCACCAGTCGCTGGAGGCCTTTCTTCTTGAGGATGACGCTGCTGCCGATGAGGAAGCTGGACAGGAAGGCCAGCCCCAGGCCGACGTAGAAGCTGTAGCTCTGCCTGAACCTCTCCTGCCAGCTGTGAGAAGTGACATTGCTGGGCATCTCAGGGCCGAGGTCAGCGATGATCTGACACAGAACTTGCTGGGAGGAGCAGTACAGGCGGA